CTTTTTAATTAAAGTAAATAATTCATATCACATTACAAAAAGAAAATGAAAGTCTTACCTTCTCAATGTAAGAACTTAGCTATTTAGTAAATATTGTAAGGACAACATAATGACAAAATTAGGGATAAATGATACGCATACTATGAGTGTCAGCTGACTTGAAGTTAACTTGAACATCGCAACCATTTTCTACATGTTCCAAAGAAGATAATAGAATGACAAAATCGGTGATAAACAAGACACAATTTGATATTAGATCGTTCAGCGACATTGCTTCCCTGTTGCGAAACTCTTTTCGATTTTACCTCGATTCACTATTGCTCAACTCTTTTCACCTTTTACCTTGAGGCGGAGATCCTTCTACTGAATATTCTTTCCAATTCAACCAACCTAAAAATTTGCATGCAACTTTGAATCCTCAAGTTTACAACCTTAAGTGTCTTTGTCCAATTCATCTATGGTGACTATGAAATCTAACCTCAATTTACTGCACCATCCCTTAATTTGTCTGAATTGGGGGCTAGAAACCAATTTCACTAAAAATCAACCTTAAATGTCTTTGTTCAATTCATCTATGGTGACTTTTTTTTTTTAAATTAGGGACTGTTGGAGGGCATCCACGGTGAATTTGCAACAATTTCAGTCGTTTAATTGACCGACATCTTGATCTTGTAGAGACTTGAGGATGCCGAGATTACATGTTCCACATTTAGTTCTGTATAAGAGACTAGATACAACATACATTACAAAATCCCTCTAGAAATCTTCATCAACTTGCCTATTTTCGTGTGGCCTTGCTATAAAAGTTTTCCCCATTGTGGTGACTATTGGACCACCACGCATTTTTTAGCACCTTCATTATGTTAATCAGATTTGTCAGCAGTAACATTGTCTTGCAGCTCAGATTTACCTGCAATAACGCTGACTTGAGCATTAGATTTTTGTTCGAGTGCCTTCTTTTGCCATTTTTTCTTCCATTCCCATACAAAGTCATACAAACCCAGGTCTTCTTTAGATGAAACTTTAGAGCATTCAACAACTTTTTGTCCAATCGGGAGGCCTAGGGCACTTTGATCATCTAAAAGGGTTTACTCAAATGTTGAAAGAGGATCAAAATCTGATAGTAGAAGATTCGGAGCTCCAAGCATTCTTATCCAGGTATATTTCCAAATTCTCACTTTTATCCAAATGACTGATGATATATTCATGTGATGAAGTAGCCGGTTTAGTTGCTTCAGGTATGAAACAGTTTAGAGGATGCCAAGACCATAATAATAGCAGCGATAGAGACATGCTCTAAGCCAGCACTTGAAGTCTTTGATCGTTTGGTTCCCTTGTCTAATTCTAATTTTGGCACTATTGTAGTGCACTTGAGGGCATTGGTATGAAATCACTGGGAGAATTCCCTTTTTTATTTTTTAATTGAAGTAAATAATTCATATCACATTACAATAAGAAAATGAAAGTCCTACCTGCTCAATGAAAGAACTTAGCTATTTAGTAAATATTGTAATGACAACATAATGAAAAAATAGGGGATAAATAACATGCATATTATGAGTGTCAGCTAACCTGAAGTTAACTTGAACAACGCAACCATTTTCTACATGTTCGAAAGAAGAGAAATAGAATGACAAAATCGATGATAAACAAGACACAAATTTGATATTAGATCGGTCAGCAACATTGCTTCTTTGTTGCAAAACTCTTTTCAGATTTTACCTCAATTTACTATTGCTCAACTCTTTTCAACTTTTACCTTGAGGTGGAAATCCTCCTAGTGAATTTTCTTCCCAATACAAGCAACCTAAAAATCTGCATGCGTCTTTGAATCCTCAAGTTTATAACCTTAAGTGTCTTTGTCCAATTCATCTATGGTGACTATCAAATCTAATCTCAATTCACTACACCATCCCTTAATTTGTTCGAATGAGAGAGGGGAGGCGGGGCTTGAAACCAATTTCACTAGGATTTCAAGGTTGACACGTTACATCTCAATTCTATTTCGTTGAACGTGTATTGATCCTTAAAATATTAAATTTTAAATTTTGGAATGTCGTGCGACTTGGTTGTATTAGGATTTCAATGTTTTCGCAAATGAATGGCCAACAACCTGTTCTAGATGAGGTGGCACTATTTCTATACTTATTGGAATCGGAGAGAATTCTTTTGTGTGAGTTAACTATTTCTATACTTAGGTTATCCAAAGATTGTCTATGGTTATGACCCTCGGGCAGCCAATATGTTATGACCCTCGGGACCTGTCATTTTATTGAAATGATAACCATGAAATTAGAGTACAACAATTTTTTTTATAAAAGATATAAACCCTAACGTGATGCAATTCAAATTTGATGTTTACATGGATGAATTGAATAAAAGGGTGGAAATAAGTATGATTTAAAATCCGTAGTATGATTTTATATTTGCATAACTCCTGGTATTTATACACATACAAAATTTGATGTTATATACAACACATCTCGCACGCGTTATTTGCTACTATTATAATCGGCTCCAATATTTGATATATATTTAAGAGCAACAAATTTGATATTAATGATAATATCCATCATTTTTGTTAAGTAGAGTTTATTTTGTCATTATAGACCGATAGGTATCCTTCAAATTTGTAAACAATTGTTGCTCTCACAATATGTAGTGGTAGCATTACCTTTGTCTCAGTTATATATCACTAACAACATTGTTTTACTACCTATGTCTCAAAAAAAATTCCAAATTGACCTTTTTGAGATTTGTGCCAAAAACAGTTAAAAATTGAAATTTAAATGAGAATTTTTTTTTTGGACAGAAGCAATAACATCTTCTTACATTTAGTCAATAATGCTAATTCTAAAATTTTGTCAACATATTTGCTAGATGACATTAACGCCTATAAAAATAGCTTTGAATCTCAAGTATAGACTAAATTCTAAAACTAGCAATATTTTTCACAAACTTTCAGAAGAATTTATTACCAGAAAAGTCCTAAAAAGTTGCTGTCTATATTCACTCAGTACTGAAAAGTTCAAATGTCCTTATGTCCCCAGAAAGCGATTTGTTTTGTATTCATTCAGTTTTCCATCTAAAATGGAACGGTCAAACGTGATATCACACGCTAGTCACGTGGGTATGGGGCGTCTCGAAAAAAATTGGTCTTCTCCCTTACTCACGTGACTTGCACGTGTTTCCAACCAAACGGAAATTCAAAAATTGAATTTTGAATTGAGCCACCAAAATTCGATAGTTGACCATCGGTTCAACCAACATTGACTTTCGGTTCAACCAATGGCCTCCGGTTCAACCACCGGCGAACAACGGTTACGGTCAAATTCACAACCTTTGGCCACCGGTGACAGCTAAACTCCAGTAGTTTAGCACCGGTTTCCCGAGATCGACCACTAGTTCAACCGTCGGTTACCGGTTCAGCCTAATAACCATGAAATAGACAACTAAGCCCAATACCATTGTATTAGTTTATTCTGAGCCGAATCCAATTAATTATTTTTGGGCCAAATAGTATTTTATAAAAGCCCAATCCCTTTAACAAACCTTATTCCCTTATAACCCTACGTTCCAAAATTTTTTTGTTAAAAAAAGGGTGAGGCCACTGCGGGAGAGAGAATCCAGTTTGGGGATTACGGTTCTTTGTTGTCGACTCAAATCCTTGCAAATTTCTTGCAAAAAACAAGTCTTTTGGGTGAAATATGGGTTAGGGATTGGAGGGTTTCGATTGATTTGAGATTTTGGGGTTTCCTTTTCGAATTGAGAGGAAAGGGTTTAGGGTTTCTTGAAAGGTTTGAAATCGAAGTGGTAGGGTTTGAAACCCCAAATTTCTTGCTAACATTTGAAGTGTTTGATCTAATTTGTGAAGAAATGCGCCAATCTCCAACACCGCCGCCATTCCCAGATCACTCCATTTGCTACTGTGGCTTGTCGGCAGAGCTAATGGCGGCAAAAACTTCTAATAATCGAGGGCGAAAGTTCTTCGGATGCCCACGATATCATTTTGGGGAATCATATGGATTCTTTGATTCGTTCGATTCAGAACGGTGTGCATGATGTATCCAGCTGCTGCCAAGCTCTTTTCAAGCATTGATTAAGAGAAGGGAAGAAATTGCCGAGAAGAATGACTTGTTGGCTGAGAAAGAAATGTTGTTGGCCAAGAAAGATCGAATGATGAAGGAGATGGATCTGAAACTGTTGGCTGCGAGGGAAAAAATGAAGATTCTACTCTCTGTTCTTGTTGCAAATTGGGCATTTGTGTGGATTCGATCGAATGGAAATGTTGGCAGGGAAAGGTGAATTAAAAGGAATTTCTGGGTAAGTTTGTTTTAATTAGCAGTAGTTGTAGTTGTAGCTGTAGTCATTGTTCAAGGTTTGTTTTAGTGTTTAAGGTAAATTTGGTTGTGGTTAATATTCCATTGTTAGGTTTAAATGTATCATTTTCCCTTAAAGAATTATTGTTGATCGAATCATTTAAGTACTGAGAATGAAGATCATGTACTTGCCAAAGCTGTTGGCTTTTTTAATAGCATTTGATGGTAATGGTATAATACTGTGTAGCCGTTGAATTCATAATACTTGTTGCCTAATTTGGTTAATTCGCATGACCTTTTGGGCTGTAATATCACCAGTTTTGCAGGAAGACTTACGTTGTCTAATCATTTGTAAAAGAAATAATCGTAATTATTATCGTATTTGTAATCGGGCCTAAAACAAATAATCGGAATTTTATCATGTTTGGTAATTTGTCGATGTATAAAAAATAGTGACATTAGTGTTTTACGCTAAGTTAAAAAACAACGTGAATCAAAATACTAATCACAGTAAGACTCAAGAACAATATATGGAAAAATTTGATGGTCATCGTAAACCATTTGCATTAACATATATATATATATATATAAACATATACATATATATATATATATATGAGAATAGATTCCAGTGACAATTACTACTAATAGTTTACTGAACTAAGATTCACCCTAAAATTACTACTGTGAAATCCAAACAGCAAATAACTCTAGAAAAGTTTGAGTTACATCAATACTAGAAAAGGAAACAATCAAGATAGAACTGGAGCCTTTAGATACAATGAGTGAATAAAGTACTTTTGGCAGGATTTGACCATGGAAGGTTTTGGCCCTTTTCCTCCCGACGGATGTTTCCACAGCTTCCTCACCTAATACCTGAATTTCCTTTTCAGGACTACTGCCATGACCATCAGCATCGAACCTTACCTTAACAGTAGCTAGCCTTGCACTTGTTCTCCTTGGTGTTGAAGGGGCTGATTTTTTGTGGTTTTTGTTGGCTTTGTTGGCAGTCGGTGAGGTTACGACAGTAGGGAGAATTACAACATCTGCTTCCTGAACATCAAGAGGGCCCGACAACGTCACATTTGTTATTGTTGGTTCTCGCTCAGGGGACCTTTCATCAGCATGTGGAGTTTGATTGGAATCATGTTCCAACTGGTCCATCTACAACAAAGCACATCATACACCGACTTAATCATTGCTAGGAAGTTGAAAGAGAACTAAAGAGAACATTACATTTTGGTGCTGCTGCTGATCGCTTGACAAACTGTCATCTATATTGTTTTGTTCTGCCACATCATCATTTTGAGCAATGAATGGTGCAGTTGGGTCAGTAGAACTAGATGGACGAAGTTTTGAAGCAAGTTCCTCCTACAAAAACACATAAAATGATATAGTCATTTGTAGATATCTGCTTTGATCCCTAACTGAAGTACTTAATGCAGTAAGAATGAGAAAAAATGCACCTGTGATAAAGGGCATTCGTTTCTGAGATGTCCAAAGTAATTGCAGCGGTCACATTTGAAATCAAGACAGGAACAGTTGTCCTCATCATGAGTATTGCTTCTACAACGACGACATCCCTCGTGCATGTATCCATCGTCAGGTGATAAATATCCACTGGGTATATAATTAGCTGGTGCACCAGGGGTATTGAAAATCTGCAAATGTGTAGTTAAAACCCATATTAACATGTGATCAGCCATTGTCAATAAAGAATAATGTTTAAATTTTGTTACAATTTAAAATGGTCATCAAGTTTACCTCTTCCATAACCTCTTCATCGTGAAGCCAGTTTTCAGCATCACGAACTGGACAATTTGCGATTGTGTGGTTAAGCAAGCGGCAATGGTCTCATTGCACCACACTTGTATTTTGCTCAAAAATATCAACGGCTTCTTTCGATCTCTTTCTTGCCAGTTGCGGACATATGGACTTGGTATGTCCCATTTCCTTGCATTGCTTACATTTTGAGTGTGGTGTTGGTGGCCTAACCCTCCTCTTTTGTTGTGCCGGCTGAGGATTGCTGGTATCTCCTTCCCCAACAGGCTGTGAAACAACAAATATACAATAAGTTACCTGATTATGACTAAGTTACTTGATTATGACTAAAGACAACTAAACCCTAAATCCATGTAACCATTCGTCAGTCAATCACGTAATCATTCTAAACCCTAACTTACAATAATATGACCAAAGAGACTTTTGAAATTGATTCTTACTTGGCTTATGTCTTCATCCACCAGATTGTGTGGATTTTTCTTTGGGGGTCTCCCTTTCCTCTTCGGTATGGGTGGATTGGTATCAACAACAGTCCCTTGGCCCTAGTGCGTAATGAAACAAAAGAAAACATAAATGTATTAAATTTGGCAATTAAAATTGTAACAAAAACCTGAAACAAAAAAGACAGAAACCTGTTGAGCTACCTTATTTGATTGGTTAGGTAGATCCGGGCAGTATCTCCTTATATGGCCAGTCACGTTACACTTGCTGCATTTGTTAATACCTTTACCCTTCTTTCGACTTGCTTTAATAGATCCTCTCTTGTTCCTGCTACCTTTGGGTCTACCAATCTTATGCTTGAATTCTGGTGGTTGCAGTTGTGGACCATCACGCTTTTTCCAAAACTTTCTGCCATTTACAGGTACTATAATGTGTGCATAAGCCCTCTCATACGCCGACTTGGAGTAAAACTTGTCTATTTGTCAACCTTTTCTCCATTTTGAACAATTTCACTAATTGCATGAGAACATGGTATTCCAGTCAGATTCCACTTTCTACAAGCACATGTCTTCTTTTTCAAATTAACCACGAATTGATCATCAGAATCAATCGTACAGACCTCCTACATGAAGCACACTATGCCCTGCAGCTCTCTGAGCATATTTCTCTAACCTTCTTTTAATCTTAGGCCCAACAACAAACTCATTCCTTGCCAGCCACTCCCTCTTCTTCTGCCCTCTCTTGGTTAAGTACACTCTAAGCCGTTCTAGCATTCCAAGAATAGGAAGTTCCCTACCAGCCAGGATAGCTCTATTAAAACCCTCACTAACATTGTTGGTTAACATATCACCCCTAGCTGTTGTTCCGAAGTATGACCTACACCAATTAGCGAAATTCAAATCATTTAACTATCTCCAAGCAGCTTCATCATTATCTTTTAGAGCTGTCATCAGCTCCTCATGCTCTTCTTTGTAACTTGATTTCGCTATTTCAAAAAGTTTTTGTTTCAGAAGAAGTCCAGGGTGCTCCTTTTTGAAGTTTGACCACAAATGATGCATACAATGCCTGTGTGAAACTGCTGGAAGTTTGGACTTAACAGCTGGCAACAACCCCTTCCAAAGAAATACCGATTATCAGAATATAACAAAATTTAAGGAATAGGAAAAAAAAAAACCAAGTATTATTGTCATATATAATTATATAAGGAACAAAACATAGTATAAAAAATAACACAAAAAACATCAACTCTGACCTTCTGGCGGTCTGAATTTATCATCCAATCAGGTGAGTTTTCAATCTCTAAATCATTAATCAGAAAACTAAGGAACCACTCCCAAGAATCCGTGCTCTCTATCTTAACAACAACATAGGCTACTGGAAACATGTTGTTGTTTGCATCAAACTCAATGGCAGTCAGTAGTATTCCCTCGACAACAGTTTTTAGAAACGTCCCATCTATACCAATTATTTCTTGCAACCCTCTTTGAATCCCCGTTTGCATGCTTCATAGCAAAGATATAACCTCTTAAAGGTATTAGGATGTTCAGGGTTAGGGTTCTTCATCAGCTCAAATGTGGTGCCTGGGTTCAGCTTTTTGGTTTCTTTCATGTAACCTTCCAACTTCACATACTGTTCCACAATGCTGCCTCTAACCTTTTTGAGAGCCTTTGTCTTGGCCTTCCAAGCTTGTGTTATGGAAATAGTAATCTTCTTCTCATTGAGAACTCTAAATTGCAGAGTTCCCACACTTATTCTTGGATCATGTGCAAAATCAGCAAGATACCAGTTTGAAACGATATTGGAGTTGCAGTTCCTATTCTTCTCCCAAATCTTGTCACAAGTATGTTTATACTTAACAGTTCTGACCTCAAATGTTGGATCCTCTTTCGATATTCTAGCCCCATACACTTCCCAGTTGCAACCTCAACACACCGTGCGTGGATAACTTCAGTATCATTTTTTTTGAAGTGAGCACCCCTCCATTCAATAAGAGCATATATTTTGATGGCTTTTAACAGAATCCATTTGTCACAAAATTTTTACGTGCCTTCAAAGGTTGGGTTGTGCATCTCCTCTCTATACCTTTTAACTTCTACATGCTCCTCCTCGTCATCAGAACCTTTAACTTTATGCAATTCATCACAAGAAGTATAGTCAGATTCTGAATCTCCAGTCTCAGGTACATATGCATGAGGCACAAACTCATATGGCTTCCTCAAACTTGCCCAGCAGGAAGTACGCATGGACTCATTGGCATATTTGCAGCTGCTTTCATCATCAGAATCAGACAAGATGTAATCACTCTCTGGTTCATAATCTTCATCATCTGCATCACTCTCTTCACCTTCATTTAAATATGCTGGACGTTTGGGTTTAGGTCCCGGTAATGGATCATATTCATTGACACCTATCCTGTAGATAACAACAGCCTTACCCTTCTCTGCAGACGTGATTTCCATCAGTGATTTCAAATCTTGATCTGAATTTAACCTTCTAAAGCCATCAAATTCTGCCACATTAGGGTCTATGTAGAATAGCCTGTGAGGCCTGCAGAATCCAATACGATCTATAAACAAGTTAACCTCTTCAAGCTTAAGGTCCTCAGACTTAACTTCATCAAAGTAGTCCACCTCCACTTGAAAGAAAACCAGTTTTCCAGTTTTGTTTGTCACGAAACCCCCACTGTGATGAATTTTGACGGTAAAAACGCCAGAACCTTCACCTGAAACAACATGGAAATACATTAAGACACAAGGGTTTAAGAGAGGTAAATTGAATAAGATATGCATGTCAACAATAAAATTATTCCTATAATACACAGTTTCAGAAATCCTAATTTCACTTAAAAAATGCATCTGAAAAAAAAAAACATGGCACTTAAAAATGCATCTGAAATGAACAAAGATGACACTGTTATATTTTATTAACTGAAGCATACAATTTTTTATTCAATTTCGAAAATCAGTTGTCCCTTCCCAACAGTACAACATGCTCCCTGCACGACTAACACCAATCCCTAACTCACCATTTGAGTTAAACAAGAATAAACCCCAAACCCATAGTCAATACTAAATTATAACACAAAAACCAAAACAATTACTTACTGTATTATGGAATTTCAGAGACTTCGTCATCAGGACGAATGTAATCCTCGCACCTCCACATCAACGGTGACCAGAGCCAAAAGAGCGTGCTCTTGGACCTTCAGTGTTAAAGCTGAATGCTGGCGATGTGAACTCCGATGACAAACTCGATGGCCTTCCAATTGCAACGGACAACCTTTGCTGCAATCCTTAGAACACAAGACTTCTCTTTTTCCAGAAATTTAGCAAAGCCCTTTCGATTTCAGGAAACCCTAATTCCCAAACTCCGGTAATAAACCCGACTGCTTTTCGATTTCAAAAACCCTAACCCCCTTTGCAATGAATCTGAAAAAAAAACACAAAAAAGTCAAAACCCTTCAATCCCTAACCAATATTGAAACAAGTTGGTTTTTTTTTTTGGCAGAAATTCACCAGATCTGATGCGTTTTGAAAAACTCTAATCCCCAACCTAACACCATCTATCGTTTTTTCTCTCCCCGAACCCGAGATGCCAATGACAAAGCGAACAAAATGACTTTCTTTTTGTTTTTAACTAATGTAGGGTTTCATCTAGAAGTTTGGGCTTTAACTTTTCCTATTAAAAAATTTGAGTCGACCCAGAAAGTTGCTTAATTGTTTTATGTTGCCCAAGTATTGGGATTGGGCTCAAAATAAAAATAATTGGCCCATGTGATGATTTATTAGGCTAGCAAACTCCACTTTTGCCCCACTGTCACGGTTGCCGGAATATTGCCGGCCGGTGTCATTACCGGCAAGTTCTCGGTTACCACCGGGAATATCTCCGGTGACAAGTGTTGGCCGGTAGTCAATGTCTGTTGAACCAATGGTCAACTACTGGAATTTAGTTGTGAGTCGTAACCCATCGACAAAGTGGCCATAACCGGTAATGGCCGGTGGTTGAACCGGTGGTCACAACCGAATTTTGGCGGCTCAATTCAAAATTTAAATTTCAAACATTAATGTTTGAATTTTGAATTTCCGCTTGGCGGGAAACACGTGCAAGTCACGTGAGTAAGGGAGAAGACCAATTTTTTTTTGGACGCCCTATACCCTTGGTCAAACCCACGTGACTAACATGTTCTTTCACGGTTGACCGTTCTATTTTAGATGGAAAACTGAATAATTACAAAATAAATCGCTGTCTGTGGACATAAGGACGTTTAAAGTTTTTAGTACCGAGTGAATATAGTTAGCAACTTTTCAGGACTTTTCTGGTAATAAATTCTTTTCAGAATTAACATTAATTCTACTTTACATTAATACTTGAAATAGAAGTTTTAAATTCATTTAGAGAGAGGAGATACCTTCTTGAATAATTAAAGTTAGAGACTACTCGCTCTGCTCAAAAGATTTTAGAGCCAAGAATTTTCGTGCCCATTCGGCTGAGTGGTGATAGACCCCCTGCATGTTATAAACGGACATTTTATAAATGACACTTTTTTTTAACTTCAAAAGGCAGAACCAGTTCCATTAATTTATCAGAAAACGCAGAAACTACATAAAAAGACACCACCCAAACATACTAGATTAGCTAACCGGATCCCTAAACAAAAAGACTATTCAAATTAACAAAAAAAAACCCATATCCCTAATAAAATCAATAGCCCCCCAATAACATAGCAACCTAATACTGGTAAAGCAATAACCCCCAGCAAATTACCAACAGCCCAACCACTAATAATGGTGATAAGGATTGTTTGCTCCTCAGAGCACAGTGAAGGAGGCCTGATGGGTAGTCCTTGCCTCTTGCTGTTGGGGACGATGACAAAAAACTCCCACAGACGCTCTTTGTTGTGCCTCACAGCTGCCCGGTTCATCTCCCTCAACTCCCACAAAATCCTAATTTCAGCCGCCGAGAACACCAGGATTACGGTGTGGTCGCGGAGCACGGCTCCCCTGTCCAAAAACTTACCATAATCCAAGGTTGCGTTCTGTAGCAGAACGGACGCACGACGGTGGTTATCTCGGAAGACAATCATGGGCTTGAGCGATCCGGATGGGGGCACCGTGCGAACACCCTCGACAAGATCCATGTCTACTCTTGCACTCCGGTCTCTTGCCTCGCGATTCCTAGCATGCTGGTTGCTACTGCCGTTACCATTCGCATTCCGGTGGCCGTTACTGTTCCTGTTCCCGTTCCCGTTTCTGTTGCGTCCAGCCATTGATTGGTGAAGGTTAAAGTGAAGAAGGAGAAAGTGGAAAAAAAGCAAATATCTGATTACTTTTTTTTTTCTTTCTTGGAAAATGATATAATGGCAATTTTTTTTTATAAACGACCCGTATGTGCCTTTTGTGAGACTTGTACCCGACCCCCAAAATTAACACGCTTTTTTCCCTCCCCAATATAATTCCCTTTCCCTTAATTTTATTCTCACAAATAGTAGCAATTATTTTTTTTAATCATTATCGCAATGTGAACTAAAAAGTCAACCTCTTCTTGCTCTTCAAAAGATTGACATTTTTTTTTTTTTGACTATATGTCCTTAATTGGTAAATTTTCTATCATAATCTCTTCAAATTGGAGTGTCTTCTCAAATATCTCTTGCTCTATTTTTTTTAAGATAAGATCATCTCGTCATATTTTTTCTCCATTTTTATGAGATCAATTCGATTTAGGAACTCTACGCTTCTAATATCGTTCCTCTTGCTCACGCTTTCAAAATTCTACGTTGTTTATTGACAAGTTGTTCAAGCTCTTTTAGCTCTACTTAGGTGTGTATCTAGTTAGATACAATTTAAATACATCGACTGGTTGGTGTTGTAATAATCATGTTGATAAAAATTGAAAAAAAATCACTATACGCATGATTAAAGCTATAACAAAGTAAACTAGATGCTTGCCCAGGGGGAATGCCCGGGGATAGCTTGTGTTATAAATCCATAAAAAAAAATCATGTGTTGAATGTGCATATAAAATATGAAGGTGTTTTAAGTCATTCAATGTATTCTTATCTTCAAAATAGACATTAAGAAAAATTAGTTTCCCGTGAAAGTCTCCAAATGTGAAAATCATCGGAAAAGGCCGAATGCCCGGCTGGTTTTTTATCATCATCACCGTTATATTGCAGGGCATGTGTATGAATGAAATGGATTCACTCAAACAACTTTCAAAAGAATTATAATGACCTCTTTAGCGGAATACACATTTCTTCAAGGAAAATAAAAAAATCATGAAACTCCCCAAATAAAAAGAATGTACTGAGCTAGTATTTCAACATTTTTCCTTCATGAAAAAATTATCAGATGAAACATCGGTTGCACCAGAGATGTAGTTTGGTTTGTCATCAACTAATGTTATAATATTCTTAAAACTAACACGTATTCCATGGCTCACAATGACTTTGATCCTATGACTCTAAACATCCTTGAAAAAGGTAAAACCAAAATCATTAATCAAACAATAATATCAAGAATGCCAAAACTGAAAAAAAAAAAAAAATCAATGAACGACAATAAGAAACAAAAATACCTCATTTTGATTTTTCCCTATATCATTAACAAAAGCAAACTTTCCTTTGAAAATTGAAATCCCGTAAAACAACATTCACTAATTCATGAAAATAAAATTATTCTAGAATACAAACAATAGACTGAAGGAGAGTTGCCGATGAATGTGGTCATAAAAATCGAGAGAAACCAGAATTGAAGTAAAAATTGAAATTAAAATTAATCAATTGCAGAGAAGTATAGAATGGGCTTTTACTACCACTGTTGGGAGAGCTTGAAGCTGAATCCATAAAGAGAGAATGGCGTTGTGGGGAGACAATCGTCTTTCTCGTATTATCTCGTGCCGTTGGTTGTTACGTCGCTTCTTCTTCTTCTGGCGGATTTGCAAAGAGATCAGGATGGATTATTCTATGAATTACAGGACCAATTGCATGAGATAGTTGATGAAGATCATGATCCAGGAGATGTTAATCAGAAGGACCTGTCTGTAAATATTTTGTAATGTTAGGTCCCTAATGGAACAAAATTGCAAATGGTAGGATTACAATGTAAATACTCTGATTGGTCAGTGTAGATTTGGCAGTTTAGTAGTTATAAGTATAAATACTGTACAGACACAATAATTGTATTTTTTATGCAATGATTAATCATCAATATAGAATCATAAAATCTCCAAATCTTCTCTGAGCTTCAATTACGTTAATGGAAGAAACCCTAGCTGGCTTTCTCATGGTATCGAGCCCTAGGCTCGATATCTTGGGAATTCCAACTATAGAAAAAAGCTTCTTCTTGCTACTCTCAATCACCCTACCATTTTAATTTCTTTTAATTGTTCTTATAATCATGTCCGGTGAATTTGCTGAGGATTCACGTAGAGCAGAGCATCGCAGAGCCAATGGTGATCAGAGAATTCATGAAGATGAGCTGACACTTCATGGATCTGATCAACTTGGAATGATGCTCGTCTCAGCTTCACTTACAGAAAGGAACTATCTAATTTGGAGTAGATCGATGAGAACTATTCTCGAATCGAAGATGAAAGTCTCCTTTGTCAACGAATCTTGCGTTTGTCCAGCGGATTTCAATTCTGAAGAATTCATGCGATAGAAACAAGTTGATTCAACAGTAAAGTCCTAGATTATTGCTGCGTTGAGTCCTGAACTCGTTGAAGGTTATATGTACAACATCTCTGCTCAAGAATTATGGCAGGATCTAGCAGAAAAGTTTGGAACATCCAATTGCCAATTGTTGCATTGGATGAGGCAGGAAAGGACAAGCATTAAACAAGGTGATGTTCATCTGAACAAATGTTATAGTTCTTTAAAAAGAATTTTGGATGAGTATGCATATTATAAGCCTATGCCAAGTTGTCCACCTGATGTAGCTAGAATTTTAACTGCTAGAGATGATGAAAAAAAATTAATTGATTTCTTGATGGGACTAAATGCAAGCTATGAAACTATGAAGGATCAGATTATGATGATGGATCCTATTCCATCAGTTAATAAGGCCTATAATATGCTACTTAAGAATGAGAAGAAATGGCCTGGTATTAGTGGTTCCTGCATCAGTGATAATATGGTCTTCATAGTTAAATCAGTTCCAGCAGGAAGTTTACCTTCAGCATCAATGAATCAAGGAATGAACTCTACTGCAAACAGCACAGCATTATTGGCAAAGCCTAGTCCTAATGGAAACAAAAAAAGGAATGGTTGGTGTGCTTATTGTAAAAGGTCAGGACATGAGAAGGAAAATTGTCCTAAGCTTCAGTTGTTTTGCACACACTGTCAGAGAACTGGTCATGATACTGCTAAGTGCTACAAGGTTGTTGGATATCCAGAGTGGTGGGTTGACAGAGGGGGAGAATCAAGAGGAAAGACCTCAACTCAACCAATTGCTAGGAACTTTGCTCATTTAGCAGGAACTGAAACTCCTCTTGATCTTGGAGATGCTAGAGAAATAACTCACACTCAGAATCAGACTGTTGATCTTAACATGATCCTCAAGCAAATGCAAAACTTGCAGCAGGAGGTTAGCAAGATTGTCAAAGGGAAACAACCAGCTGATGGAAACTCTTATCGAGCCAATTTTACTCGCATGCATGACTTTGCAGGTAGCTCAACTTTTCCTAAACTGCAAAACTCTTGTCATTCAATAACATTGCTGGCGTTATGGTTTCTAGATACTGGGGCCACAGATGTATTATATATTCCTACTTTTAAATACAATCTTATTTCTGTAAGAAAGTTAGCACAAACAACAAACATCTTCTTTACCTTTTCTGTTGAATTGTGTGTCTTACAGGACCTCTTGACTAATCATATCATTGGGGTTGGTAAAGTTGTTCATGGTTTGTATGCCCTGACACCAGATTCTTTTGAACCTTCACACATTACAGCAGAAATTCAGCAACACTTGCCAAGAATACTTCTTCATTCTGCAGTTTTCAGTCCAAATGTAGTATCTAACTTGAATAATAAGTCCTTGCTTTCTAGTCAATGTAATGATGCCAGTGTTGCACTTAGTATAAAATGGCATCAAAAGCTTGGACATCCTTCCTTGCAAATAGCTAAACCTCTAAGGAATGTTCCTAATATTGATGTAAACTCTGAATTTTGCTGTGAAATATGCCCTTTGGCAAAATAGCATAGACTTGTATTTCCAAATAGTTCACTACATTCAAATGATTGTTTTCAGCTTATTCATGTTGATCTTTGGGGTCCATATTCTCACCCAAATTTATCTCAAACACATTATTTTATCACCATTGTTGATGATTTTAGTAGATGCACTTGGACACATATACTTAGACACAAAACTCAGGCATGTGAAGTTGTTTAAAACTTCTGTGCAATGACAAACACTCAGTTTCATAAAACAGTTCAAATTATTTGAACTGATAATGGAACCGAATTTGTGAATAAAGATTGTTCCTCACTTTTTTCTCGGTCGGGAATTCTTCACCAAAAATCATGTGCTTACACTACACAACAAAAAGGAGTTGTGGAAAGGAAGTACAAACATCTTTTACAACTTGCTAGGGCACTAATATTTCAGTCTTCTCTTCCAAAAAAATTATGGAGAGATGCCATCTTGACAGCCACCTACTTAATAAATCGACTTCTCACTGTGCTTCTTAATTGGAAATCTCTTGTGGAAGTTTTAACTTCTCAGGAACCTTCTTTATCACATTTACGCACTTTTGGTTGCTTGTGCTTTGTCACAGACAACACACCTCATAAAGACAAGTTTGCTCCCTGAGCCTTTAAAGGAGTCTTTATTGGTTATCCTCAAGGACAAAAGGCCTACAAAGTTTATAGTCTAGAAGATCACAAGGTTCATATATCTCGTGATGTGATCTTCCATGAGAATATTTTTCCTTTTAGATCTTCTGCTTCTAACAATGCTACGACATCAGTTCCTTTACCTCTCATACCTTTAAACCAGGAACTTATGACTGATCTTCGTTCTTCTCATACTTTTGACTCTCATTATTCTCCTGAAAGTCATTAATCTGCTGATAACAATGATTCATCTTTCTCTCACAGATCTTTTGTGCATCATACTCCTTCTCCTCAACCTTCTTCTCCTCCACTCAGAGTCAGTAATCGAATTAAGAAACGTTGTGTCTGGCTAGAATCCTAAGTTTACTGCACTTTTCTTTTTATGAAGCAACCTAATCTTTCATCATCTTATGTTTCTTTCTCGACTAATT